TATCGGGGTAGATCTGGAGGCTGATATCCGGGATGGCGTGATTGCCGTCCTCAAAAAGTTTCAGGTGCTGTTTGCTCGGGGGCCAGAAGATATGCCCGACATTGATCCAGAAATAATATGTCACAAACTTGCCGTTCGGTCTGATGCAAAACCGGTCCAACAGAAGAAACGGTATCAAGCAACCGAACGGCAGGAATTCACAAAGAAGGAAGTGGCCACTTTGCTAAGGATAAAGCACATCCGTCCGGTAATCCACGTAGAATGGCTATCCAATGTGGTTCTAGCCCCAAAACAATCTACCTGGAGAATGTGCGTGGATTACTCTGATCTGAATAAAGTGTGCCCCATGGATCCCTACCCAGTGCCGAGGATCGACCTGCTAGTGGATGAGACTGCAGGGTGTGAGTTACTGAGCTTCATGGATGCTTTCCGGGGTTATCATCATATATTCATGCACCCGGCCGATGCTGAGAAAACGGCGTTCGTTACTTCGGATGGCGTGTTTTGCTACATCGTCATGCCATTCGGATTAAAGAACGCGATGGCAACCTTCCAGAGGATGATCGGGATGTTGTTCAAAGATGTGCTGGGTGTCACAATGGAAGCCTACGTTGATGACATCCTGATCAAAAGCAAAAAGAAGGAAAACCATGTCCTGGACATAGAAAAGGTGTTCGGGATAATGCAAAAGGCGAATATGAGGCTGAATCCCAAGAAATGTGCGTTTGCTGTAAGAGGAGGCAAATTTTTGAGGTACATGATGAGCGAGAAGGGGATTGAGCCCAATCCAGAAAAAGTAAAGGCAATTGTGGACATGGAGGCTACGAGAAATCTCAAGGAAGTGCATAGATTGACCGGTCGGCTAGCAGCCCTGAGCAGATTCCTATCCAAACTGGCCGATCGAGCTATCCCGTTCTTCCAGATCATGAAGAAAGCCAACCCTTTCGAGTGGACGGCCGAATGCCAAACGGCCTTTGAGGATTTCAAGACATATCTGTCTTCCCCCTGGTCTTGACAAAACCCGAACCAGGGGAACATCTGTATATGTACCTTGTTGTAGCTGACTTGGCCGTAAGCACAGTACTGTTGAAAGAAGAAGATGGCGTTCAACGGCCAATCGATTTTGTGAGCAAGGCGTTGAACGGCCCGGAAACCAGGTACACCTTGCTAGAGAAGAATGTACTGGCCCTGATAGCTGCCATTAAACGTCTGGCCCCGTATTTCCAGACCCACCCGGTAACTGTATATACTACCCAGCCATTAGCCTCCATCTTGAGAAATCCTATGGCAAGTGGGCGCATTACCAAGCGGAGTCTCCTGATCGGGCAATACGAGGTAGATTTCAAACCCCGGCCTACTATCAAAGGGCAGGCCCTGGCAGATTTCATTGCAGAATGTACCGCCCGGCCCTCAGAAAAAGATTCAGAGAACAACGGGCTGGATAACTGGTGGGAAATGTATGTGGATGGAGCATCTAGTGCCAAAGGTTGTGGAGCTGGAGCTGTGATCACATCGCTCGAGGGGTTCAAAGCATATTATTCCATTCATTTTGATTTCAAGGTGACCAACAATGAGGCTGAATATGAGGCTCTCATTGCTGGTTTAAAGTATGCAAGGGCCCTGGGCGCCGATCGGTTAAAAGTTCGATCGGACAGTCAATTGGTGGTACATCAAGTGAACGGCACTGCTGAGGCCAAAGAAGAAAGGATGAAGGCCTACAAGGAAATGGTCGAGGAGCAGATACGTAAATTTGAACAGGTGGTGCTCGACCAGATATCCAGAATCGAAAATACTGAAGCAGATATCCTGTCCAAATTAGAGAATGCAGCGTTCGACGATCGGGCACAGGAGATCTCAGCTCATATCCAACGTTTTGCCCATCGGGAAACATTGACAACCCCAACAATCATGGTGCTCCAGATCGAGGCCATATCTTATGCCATCCCGAGCTGGGTCGTAGATATGACCAACTACCTGAAAGACGGAACCCTCCCACAAGATAAAAATCTTGCCTATCAAATAAAATGCATCCAGAGGAGGGCTTCCATGTTCGAATTGGTGGACGGGCAGCTGTACAAAAAGACATTTGGTGGGCCGTATCTGAAATGTCTCCCACCCGATCTAGCGGCAGCTGTCATGGAAGAAATTCATGAAGGTATCTGTTCCAGCCACCAAGGGCCCAAGACACTGGCCAGAAAAATTATCTTGCAAGGGTATTATTGGCCAACTATCCAACAGGACTGCTTCGCGCATACTAGGAAATGTAAGGTATGCCAATTATACGCACTGGTTCCCGGACGGCCTGCCACTTTCTACACTCCCATGACGGTGGCCCTTCCATTCGCAAGATGGGGGATAGACCTGTTAGGTCCTCTACCTACTGCACCTGGAAACAACAAGTACATCATTGTGGGGATAGATTACTTCACCAAATGGGTAGAGGCCGAGCCACTGGCCAGCATCACAGATGTTAAATGCCAGAAGTTTGTCTGGAAAAATATCATTTGCCGGTTCGGAATCCCTGAACAGATTATAACTGACAATGGAAGGCAGTTCGTGAGCCGGAATTTTGAGAACTACCTGGTCAAATGGGGGATCAAGCATTCCAGAGCGTCCGTCGCATACCCTCAGGCAAATGGCCAGGTAGAAAATATGAACTGAACTATCATGGATGGTATGAAGAAGAAGCTGGAAGAATACTCCTCATCGTGGCCTGATCAGTTGAATTATATTCTGTGGACTTACAGGACCACACCCCGAACGGCCACGGGAGAGACTCCATTTGCCCTTGCCTATGGTTTTCAAGCCAAAGTACCAACGGAGATCCTAGTTCCCACACACCGAACGATGCATTACAGCCCAGAATAGAATGAAGATAACTTACGGGCCGAATTGCATTTCATAGAAGAAAGAAGGGATCTGGCAGCGGCGCGAATGGAAGAGTATCACAGAGCCACAAGAAGATACTTTGATAAGCAGGTTAAAGTTCGTTCAATCGAGGTAGGGGACCTGGTGCTAAGAAAGAGAGAGAAAAGCAAACCGCTCGAAGGGGGCAAAATGGCACAAAATTGGGAAGGCCCCTACCAAGTATGTAAGAAGTATGCTTCAGGAACGTTTGGCCTAAAAAATACCGAAGGCCGACCGGCAGGAACTTGGAATGTGGAGCATCTGAGGAGATTTTATCAGTAAAAACGGCTGTTGCCACCTCTAAATATATATATATATATATATATATATATATATATATATATATATATATATATATATATATATATATAGAGGGAGACATAACTTCCACACAAACTCAGCCCATGGTTAACTCGATCATTCCGGATGACCGAATGACGAACGGGTTAACAACATGGAAGGAAAATCAATTCTCAGTTTAGAGAGTTTTTGACCCTAGAATTATGAAAGAATAAAGGGATAAAAAACGGCTTGAAGAATTGAGGCTCAGAAAATTGGTGCCCGTGGTTAACTCAATCATTCCGGATGACCGAATGACGAACGGGTTAGCAGCATGGAAGGAAAATCAATTCTCAGTTTAGAGAGTTTTTGACCCTAGAATTATGAAAGAATAAAGGGATCAAAAACGGCTTGAAGAATTGAGGCTCAGAAAATCGGTGCCCGTGGTTAACTCAATCATTCCGGATGACCGAATGACGAACGGGTTAGCAGCATGGAAGGAAAATCAATTCTCAGTTTAGAGAGTTTTTGACCCTAGATTTATGTAAGAATAAAGGGATAAAAAACGGCTTGAAGAATTGAGGCTCAGAAAATCGGTGCCCGTGGTTAACTCAATCATTCCGGATGACCGAATGACGAACGAGTTAACAGCATGGAAGGAAAGTCATTCTCAGCCAACGGCTGGGAGTTTGACGCTCAGATAGTCTCACCTCAGCGGTTAATATGAGAATCGATTCTGGAAAACCGAATGACGAACATATTAGCAGTTTGGAGGGAGCCATTATTTCAGCAAGAGTTTTGACCCTGTAATTACGCATTGATGAAGGGATCAAAATGGCCTGGAGTTCGAAGGAAAATGATTCTCACCTCAGCTTGTTAACACGTAGAATCATTCTGGATGACCGAATGACGAACGGGTTAACAGCTTGGAGGGAGCTGAGTCGTCAACTTAGCCAAAGTCGACCCTGTAATTACGTACGGGCAAAGGGATCAAAACGGCTTGGAGATAGTGTCAAGACTGTAAGATAGGGATTAACCGAGCGACGTTCGGATAAGGTACGGATTGTCGCCCGGGGAATCGGAACTATGGTTTTGAAAAATCTCGCCTCAGTCATAAAACTTGACTTGGAAGCTAGTCGCCCTTTTAGCTATAAGTAAGAAATGACCCAACTTCGGTGATCTTGCTTACAGTTCGAAAAGGGTTACCTCAGACCCCTAATATGGATGATACGAGCCAGAGAGAACAGTTCGGAATGCATCAGAATTATGGGTTTGGAAGGGAGAGAGCCTCACCTCAGCTTGTTAACGCATGAAATCATTCTGGATGACCGAATGACGAACGGGTTAACAGTTTGGAGGGAGCCCCTATCCCAGCCGAGAGTTTGACCCTGTGGTCACGATCAAAACGGCTTGGAGGAATTCACCTCAGCTAAGAGTTTTGAACCCGTGCGTCACGAACAGGAAAAGGGATCAAAACGGGTTCAGGAAAGGTGTCAGAACAATTGTGAAGAGAGTCTCACCTCAGCTTGTTAACACGTGAAATCATTCCGGATGACCGAATGTCGAACATGTTAACAGTTTGGAGGGAGCCCCTATCCCAGCTGAGAGTTTGACCCTGTGGTCACGATCATAACGGCTTGGAGGAATTCACCTCAGCTAAGAGTTTTGAACCCGTGCGTCACGAACAGGAAAAGAGATCAAAACGGGTTCGGGAAAGGTGTCAGATATAAAGATACATGAGCCGAGTAAGGTTCGGCCACGTAGAGAAGATTGTGAACAAAAAATCTAAGGAAGAATAAAAAATACAACAGACAAAGGAAAAAAGTCCAGTTTATTCTTCGGCATTACTAGCCGGAATGTACAAGAAGAACGGATATACAAGAAAAGAGACAACAGATAAGGAAAGAAGGCTACACTACTGGAGGATCGCCGTTCGGGGAGGATGTAGGCTGAGAGCTCCCTGCCTGCACTGCATCGTCAGGCGCTGCTTTGGATCTTTTCTCCATGACGCGATCGTACGTATTCCCGAACAGATCATCGAAGCCTAATTCATCAGGATCGAACGGCTTGGGGAAACGCTCTAAGATCAGTTCAAGATTCCTGTCCAGAAGCAGGTCCTGACTTTGCTTTACGGTTTTCTCGGTCAGGACATCCAAGAAAGATTTCCCTTCCGGCGTGCTGTCCAGGAGGTCGATCCCTGCCTTGATAGGATCTGAGCTCTCACGCAAAAATTGGCCAAGATGAGGACCTAGGAATTGCCGGGCCGTGTTCTCCAGAGCGACGTTCAGCGCCTTGCCCCGTTGAAAATCCACTACCGATCGCTGAGCAATCTGAGAAGTATTAACCGTGTAGGGTTCGGGCAGATGATCTCCAACAGCCTTATCAAATTTAATGCCAGCAGATTCAGCAGCCCGCACCTTGGCCCGGAGTTCTTTAAGCTCCCGGTCGCGACGACAGGACATCTCCTGCATCTCGGCCAGAGCAGCTTTTGCCTTCTCACCCTCTTTGGCCTGCTCTTGGAGGTCGGTCGCTAACTTCCGAGCGGCGGAAAGGAGGACCTGGCTGTCATCCCGATCGCTGGCCAGGGCTTTCATCTCCTTCTCAGCAGCAAGAAAGGCCTTGTGATAATACACGCCAGCCTGAAAACAAGGTTACAATGAAAGTCAGATAAGGTAAAACATGAATAAAAGAAAGGTATGTGTCGGAATGAAATGTACCTTGAGTGCTTCCTGGTGACATGCTTCGAAAAGGTCCGACCAGTGAGTCAAGTTGGTGAAGCTCGGGGGAACTTTGATCGCAGTATGACACCACATAGAAGATGGCATCAGCCCGAACAGATACCTCCCTTCTGATCTGGGCCCCATATTTGAAAATTCAACAAACATCCGATCATCAATCGGTGTGGCAGTAAGAACCAGAGTTGGTTTGTTGGCAGGCACCGATCTTTTGGGCTCGACCTCCGGCCCGGTCAAATCAACCACATGGTCGATCGGGATCAGGTGATCGCCATCATTTCCTTTGCGCTTTTTGCGGGTTTGCTCCGCCGAATCACGATCGGCTATCATCTTCTCCTTCCCTTTAGCAGAAGAGATAGAGCGTCGGACGGGTATGGGAGATATCACACCTACAAGAAAGAGAAATAAAAGATAAGAAGTTGAATTGTGAGAGCGAAGGATGATCGGGTTAAAACCCTACTATGCTTACCGATTCCAGCAGATAACATGCTCGAGGTAGTGACAAAGCTGTGAAGACTTCTGGTCCCTCCCATCCGCAAAGACTCAGCTTGGGAGCGTAGAACGGCATCCACCCTAGGCAGAGAATCCCGAACGGGGTATGCGTTCCACCTATCCGGGAATGGCAGAGAATCGCCTACCCAGACGAACAAAAACCGCTCTTCCCAGTCAGCCTGCGGGGTAACATTCTCTGTGAACAGCTGACGATCAGAACGAGCTACCAGTTTCAGGTATCCGGTCGTCCAGTAGGGCTGATAGCAGTAATGATAAAGGAACAGATCGACGCTCGAGGTGATCCTCAACTCGTGGCACCGGATAATGAAGCCTGTCAGAATACGGTAGGTGCTGGGCACGAACTGAGCGGGCAGTACAGCAACCCGGTGTAAGAACTCCACTATGAATGAATGGAGAGGGAACCAAAGTCCAGCGGTCAGAGCATCAAGGTGCACTAGCACGTGCCCCGGTCTGTGCCTCATAGGGTGCCGAATGAATCCGGCATAGAATTCTCTTGGTGGGGGCAACAACTGGCTAAGTTGCCGTTCAACATCTTCTGGGAGACGTTGTTTGTGTTTGCGTATGCGATTGAAGTGTAGGGCAATGCGGGGTGGCCGCTCGGGCATCCCCTTGTTGTAAACTTGGAGGTCATCTCCAGACAGACATCCATCCTCTTGTGGCTGTTCGATATGTTTGCTGGCCTGAGGATTGGCGGGTTTAGGTGTTTGGGACGAAGAGCCTTCGGCCTGGTTACCAGCGGATGTTTTGCTTTTGCGGATCAAAGGCATCTCTTCAGATTCTGAGCTAGAGGAGTAGTACATAAAAACGCTGGAGGAACTCCGGGAATTCTAGAGAGAGAAGGCTTGAGAGTATGCAAGGGAATTCTAGAGAGAGAAAGCTCGAAAGAAAAATGAGAAAACAGCAGGAGAAATTAGGGGAAGCACCTCTCTATGAATAGGGAAAGTGCCGCACAAATCCCTAATCCATGAGCAACACGTGGCATTGGGTGGTTACGATTAAATCTGGGGCATTTATGACTCATTTTTTGTGCACGTACCCCGGACGTGCTTACAGAGAATTAGCAAAGTCCTAAATGTCAACCTGAAGCCCGAACGGCTACCAACTTATGGAAAGGCCCAGGTGGAAAGAAAACCAAGAAAACGGCTAAGTCCTAAAATTTGGTTTGAAGCCCGGACGGCTATCAATGTTATGAAGAAGCCCAGGTGCAAAGAAAACCAAGAAAACTGCCAAGTCCTAAAAGTTGGTCTGAAGCCCGACCGACTATTAACGTTATAAGAGATTATCTGAAGCAAGAATGTGCTAAGTCCTAAAATTTGGTATGAAGCCCGAACGGCTGAGTATCAGAGAGAGGGTTTTTTCCTTAAATAAATCATCAGAACTTTCTAATGCCCGAACGTCGATCAACGGCGTTAAGATTATTTGAGCAAGAAATAAGTTAGGAAATTGGTTAAGTCCTACAAAACAGGCCGAATCCTGAATGACGAGTAAATCATGCATTAAAGACAGAAAAGACAGTACGCAAAGTTTCAGGCAAAAAAGGGATATATATTCATCGGTGCTACTGACCGGGAAATACAAGCTACTTGGAAAAAAGAGAATTACAACAAGAATTACAAAAGTACATATGAATTATTGATCGGGGGCCATTTCATCTCCCTCTTCGTCCTCATCCTCATCATCATCAGACAGGGGTTCAGGCTCTTTCCCCGCAGCCCGATCGGCTTCCCTCTGCTGAGCTCGCAGGAATTTCTCAAACTGAGTCTGGATAATGTCATCTGCGGGGAGATCAGAAGCCTGAACCGGCCTCCCCAGATGATTTTGAAGCTGATTGACGAAGGGACGCAGCAAGACCTGGCCAATTTTGCCATAAAGGTCTGAGACAATGGAGTCGTTCCATTTTTTGGCCTCGGGGTCCTTATCTAAGAGGGCCACCCCTGCCGATAGCCGACCAGCGCCTTTGGGGAAACCCTTCAAGTACGCCCCAAAGGCGAACGGGATTTGGGCCCTTGCATGATCATCCTTGATGGCGGAGAATTCATCAGAGGATTTAAACGTGTCCCGGACGGCGGACAGATCCACATTCACTTCATAGGGACCGTCCGGGATGCTGGATGGCATTTCCTCAAATCTAACCTGTGCGGCCTAAGCGGCAAGGACCTTCGCCTGGGAAGCTGCGAGTTGGATCCGAAGGGTACCGAGTTCAGCATCCAGCCTCTGCTTTTCCTCCGCAAAGGCTTTCCGTTCGGCCTCCAGAGAGGCGATGGCAGCAACAACATGTTGCTCAGCAGAAGACTGGGCAACAATCAGTTCCCGCTCCTTGGCCAGGCGGGCCTCCCGCATCTGAAGGGTGTACAAGCCCATCTACAGAATACCGTTCGAGAATTAGTACTAGTTACAGAGAATAAAATAAAGACAAAGCGCAAAAGACAATATACCTTCAGAGCAGTCAGAGCCAGACATTCTTCAGATTGCTCGACCGGCAACTGAGGAAGGGAAAAGTTGTTGAACCAAGAGGAGGTCGACCAGATCTGGCTCGCGGTAGAGCCGGCCCTCTCTAATACCTCATGGACAGGGTCGGATAGGGAGATCCGCTCGACCTGACCCGTAATATGGTCGGTGTGAGTCTCACCAGCATTCGAGGGTTCCCCCCGAACGGAGTCGAAATGCTGGGAAAATTGGTGCAGTTGATCAGAGCCGAACCGCTCGTCGATCAGCATGGCCTCTAATTGGTCCTGGTGGACCTGTTGTATTGGCTGAGGCTCTGGAAGCGGTTCAGAAGGGGCAGCCTCCTGAGCGGGAATAATGGAGGGAGTAGGTTGTGGATTCTTCCTGGATTTCTTCCGTTTTCCGGCCCCACCGGCTGCGATGACTCTGCTATCATCCATAGAAAGATCTGGGTTTGGTGCTGAAAAAAGACAAAGAACAATGTTAGTATCGAGCGGCCCTAGCGTGTGAGAAACTAGAAAAAAGAATAAAAGAACGTTTCTCGCACGGGAAGGACCGCCCGAACCAAGGCACTTGGTTTATCAAAACAAGTAAACCCAAGAGAACGGGCAGTACCTATCCCGGCTGTTATAAGTCGTTCAGGGGTCAGATAATTCATGATGTCCATGCATTTATCCTTCTCCACAGCAAGCACGTCCTTGTAGATTTCTTCAGTGAGGACAGGATCAGAGGTTTTGCGGGGAAAGGCATTCCATTTGCGGGGAATCAGACCGTCCGGGATGGACACGAAGAAAAACCGGTCTTTCCACCCTTTGATCGAAGTTGGGTTTCCTTTGAACAGGATGTGTCCCGTTCGGGCACTAGTGGCCAGATAGCCATGGGTTTGTTGGGGGGCTACTTTGAAAAATTGGTGGAAGAGTTCTAGGGTTGGTCGGGCGCCGGCATCTTTGCAACGACAAATGAAACCCGCCATTGCTCGATAAGAGTTCGGCATAATCTGGGCCGGTACAACTTCGTAGAAATTGAAGAAAGAAATGAAAAAGGGGTGTAGCGGAAATCTAAGGCCGGTCCTAATTGAGTCAAAGTGGACTATGGTCATTCCGGGCCTATGACGCATTGGGTGAAGCCCGGCTTGCAAACGGAAATCCACCGGGTCAGGGATAAGGGCCGGAATTTCGGCCCTATTGTGAGAGGTCAATTTTTGCCTCCTCTCCCTAATCAATTTTAGGTCAAGAGTATGGCGAGGAACATCGTTGGGACGTCCGGCCGCCATGGAGGCTATTTCGTCCTCGGATTTGGTGTCATCGGAGTCCTCACTGGAGGAAGAAGAAGTGCTAGGGAGGTCCTCCGCCTCAGCCCTGGTATTCGTCGCCGTCTCAGTAGAAACACCGACAAACGGAACTGGGATGACATGTACAATGGCGGTGTCACGGTCATCTCCATGAGAGGCCATCTCCTAATCAGAGGAATGCTCTTTGGGGCTCATCTCGATCGAAGCCAGAAATGAAGATAGGGAATCCAAAGTTGGGAAATTACCTGAGCAAAGGAAGCAGGGGGAAATTTGCAGAGGAAACAACGAAGGCCAAGGAATTGCAAAGTCGAAACCCGGAATTGAGAAGTTAAGGGCTAATTTATAGCCTTGAAACCGCCGTGTCGAGAACCAATCAGAGAGCGACACATCACTAGGAGCATTTAAGCTAAACACGCGTCTAATGAAAAGACTAAACGACGGTTATCATGATGAATATGGGGAAATAAAGCGGCAGCCGTCAAATCGCAGCATGGGGAATTGATTACTTCTGTACCCCGATCGCCATTCGGGGTATTATGACATTGGTATACTTCCTAATGCACTCACTTCGTTCGAGACATCGAAAGTGGGGGACTTGTGTTGGGATATTGACCTAGAGGCCCAATACCCAGATCGGGAAGGCCCAAGATATCCGGCCCAAGTAACAGTCCCATCACTCTATGATGAAAAGATCCAGTAAGGAGACATACCGAACGGAGTTCGGCCCAAATAAAGGTTGGCCCAGTAAGAAGACATACCGAACGAGGTTCGGGCTATATATCATACTTGGGCCAATTTGACAGCATCTTCAGTGCAGCCCAACATCCCGTTCGAGCAACGGCCAACCAGCAAGTGGCCAGGTGCAATTAATGCCAGACTATGACATCAGCAAGTGGAAGCATGGATGACCAAGTCGGTGGAACAACGGCCAATCAGCAAGAGGCAGCCCATGCTCTTCATTAGTATAAATAGAAGGTTTCAAGTCATTGTAAGGGTTAGCATTTCAATACTCAAAGCTCTAGAATAGCATCATTTGCTCTTATTTCTTGTATTAAAGCATAGTTTCCGACTTACCGATCGGGAAATTCCTTGTAATCAGATTGGTTAATTAATACAAGTGGGCTTTCGAGTTTTAGTTAGTTCAGATCTTATATTTTCTTATACTCTTTGATTCTGGGTCATTCCTGATATATCCAAAGTTCGTGTTGGGCTTTCGGATCTACGGGACTTACCCTCAACACATATAAACTATATAATGTTATTTTGAGCATATAAAACATGTAAAAAACTAAATTATATTAAACATGTATACCAATTAAAGTAAATTATAAACTAAATCATATTTCGAAATTTAATATTAAACATGTATTTCGAAAATTAAAGAAATATTATAAACTAAAGCATATTTCGAAATCATATTACTACACAAAATAAGTATACAAAACTAAAGAGTGGTAGTATAAAGAATAAAACCATTAATTAAAGGACTTCTAAAAAACAGTCATTAAAGTCTTAATGGAGCTAGAGAGTTAAAGCCCTCCCTCAAAAATACTACTCCTTAAATTATAGAAATAGTATTTAAACAGTTAAACCATTAACCTGGAATTCTGGAAAGTGGAAACAATAAAAAAACCTAATAAAGTTGTAATTTACTCTGGAACAGTTACACAAACTTAACAAACCCTCCCTGAAAATTATGAATTTGGAATTCTAGAAATAAGGTTGTAATTTATCCTTTAAACAGTAAAACAGGCAAACAGCTCAATGGCGAAGAGCATATAAATTGCGATACAACTAAAAAATAACCATTAACAAACTTACGGGCGAAGATAGAAATGGCCCACTCGGCTACTCGGCTAGAGGCTAAAAGTTGCTCAGCCGCCGTGCGCTGACCGTCCGATGGCCGACAAGCAACCAGTCACCGCGTGATACGTGTTAAACAGGCACCCTCAGTTAGAGAAGATGGAGACATAGAGTCACTTACCGTCCGATTGCCGATTTGCCCCTTAGCAATTCTACCTTTTCCACCAAAGGTGCAAACTATCTTGAGACATACCATTGAACTATCATATGCTCCGTATGAGGCATACATATGAGTTCCAAAGCCACTGTTCTCCGTGGAAGTTTGTTCTCCCACTCTCATATGGCCATTGATAATTTTCAATTCACAGAAGGAATACTTTCTTTTTTCCATATCTCTGGAACTTTTCGTTGTAGTGAGCATGCGAATATCTAAATCTCTTTGAGAGAAATTCCAATCTTCAGAGAAAGTAAAAATCTAAAACAGAAGAGGAGAATAAAGTAGGACTGAGAGTGAAATGAGAAAATGGTGTATAAAGTGTGAAGAGCAATTGTGTTTATATAGTACTACGTAGTTAGTAAGGCCAAAATGATTTTACAACACATCATTATTTAACATTAGTCATTAATTTCACAGTATTTTATGGAATTTCCATTTGTCATTTTTGTGAGATTACTTACCATAAAAGTGCAGCTCTGATCCACTGACCAGTGACCACAATGACTTTTTTATTTTTTTGAACGAATCATAATTATCATGATTGTTCCTATCAATCCTATCATATGCATAAAATTCGTCTCCATTTGATATAAGGGCCTATCATTCTGCTGCACCAGCAGATATAAGTGTGTGTCCACACAATGATATAAGAGTATATCATTATTTATCAAGGAAGCTTGTTAAGTAACGTGCTTATATGCAATACTATATACTCCCTCCGTCCCTTAATACTTTGCCAAGTTTGACCGGCACGGAGATTAATAAAGTAAAAATTGTGTGATATAGGTTTGTGGAGAGGAGAGAGAATGAACTGGAACCACAAATTCTCTACTTAAAAGGGAAAGTGGCAAAGTTAATGGGACAACTAAAAAGGGAAAGTTGGCAAAGTTTTAAGGGACAGATGGAGTATAACTTTGAGAAAATTTTGATGATCAAGGAAAGTTGATAAAGAATGCTCATAGAGAGATTTAAAGATTTAATCAGCACCATACACATACAGTGAATTCTCCACTGTATTCAATATTAGCAACTTTAACGGTGAGATCATGAATCAAAAGTGAAAAGCTAAAAGATGGAATGCCAAGTCGTTAGTCTGAGAAGTGAAGTTGGACTGGGAGTGAAATGAGACAGTTTTCACAATGAAGGTTAACATTGTCTTTGGTAACCTTTTAAAATTTTCTAGGTACATCACACCTGAGATAAGCCCATGTTTTCCAAGAAATAATGGTGCTTATTTGGCCATAGACCCAATGACCATGAACCTTGTATAACACCCAAAATTTAGTTACTACAAATTTCAGGATAAATAATAATAGGCAACACAATGTAATGTTCCCATAAAGTAGTAATACAGTTGATAATAAATATACCTCTTTAGCATATGACAACTCAGAGAGTGGTATAATAAGACCGATTTCAGCCACAACTTAAGTGGAGACAGCAGAGGATGATGATTGCGTCAAAGGCGATAAAAAAGAGCTTCTTATGCTTAGAAAATTACAATGATTGTAAGTATGTTGACTCCCAAATAGATTAAAAGCTTGAGTAGACACTTCATCTCAACTCAAGCAGCAATTTACCTGCTTCTGAACTCCTCAATTTCAGGATTGTATTCATGCAACAATAACTTTGAAACATTAAAAGATGTTGCTACTCCTTTAGTGTCATCCGGAAATAATGTTGTAACAAAGTGTAGTCATTATAAATGTGAAGCAGGTGTAATGACACAAGACAAAGTAAATGAATGACTAATCAATCATGATTTAGTTTACTCCATCCCTTTCCATATTACAAACAAATGGACACATATACAAATGTCTACAAATGTCTGACTTTACTTGGATGCTCATCATATAGTTTAAATTAAATGGGAAGAATTTGAAACAAATAAATGTTTGAACTAAAACCTCATTTGTTTATTTTGCAGCCTAACATTTCATTCATCCAATTTCATTTTAAAAATCATTGAGATCCCATTTATTGTACTTGAAATGGCGCTGCTATAAGTTCCCCTTGAAAACTAAAATTAGATGTGAAGCGTTTAGTTTAGTCGATTCGTTTTCATAGTAAAAAATGGACAGATGGCAAAAATCTGCAAAAGTGGTAATTAATCACAACATTTAGTTTAGCCAATTCCTTTCAATATTAAAAAGAAATGGACAGATACAAAGACTTGAAAAAAATGCAGCTTAAATGAATCAAAAGTAGAGAAAATACGCATCGGTTTATTTGCGACCTAACTTTACTTGGATGGTCATTGTGTTGGGACTAAATGAAGAATAATTCATAAATGTTAGGTATTGGCCCAGTATTTACCACAAGCCCAACTCAACTTAGGATGCACCCGGCCCATGTTCTTTTCTCACTTCCGCGTGCGCCTTTGATCTTGACGATCGGTTTCTTCTCTCTCGCGATACTTTCCTTCCCCTGGGTAGTAATGTGCGTATCTCCTTTGCAAGGTAAGTTACCATCCTTGGTACCATTACTTTGCCTATTTAAACTCTCTCCTTCTCCTCCGATTGGCGTGGCCGAAACCCTTCTTCCTAAATCGCACCTCTGTGGAGCCTTAGTTGAGTTGGTCGGAAAATAGCCGCTGGTTGACGCCCCTTTTCCCCTTATAGATTTTTTAGTGGTGTTCTTCATCCTTCGTGGGTGAAATTTGGACGAGATCTGAGTTGGAACTAGATTCTAAGTGGTATCAGAGCCAGGAGTCGTCTGCCGCCGTTCACCGCCGCACCGCCGTGTCATCACCGCCGCCTGCCGTCGCCAGAGGTCCTGCAGTAGCCAGCTTCGTCGTCCAGCGTTCTTCCAGCACCCAGAAGCCTCGGTCCAGTGTTCTGCCAGAGCACAAGCTGCTGTCCAGTCCGCTGCCGCCAGTCAAGTCCGCTGCCGCCGTGTCTACACCAGCCCACGCTGACTACGGTAAGTCGGGTAACCCAACCTCGGGCCCCGCTCAGGTAAATTGGCAATAAACATCCTTGGTGTACCGGAGTGCCATCAGATTTATTTTTTCCCCCGCTCCCCGCTGCTGACCTGCGTGGTCTTGGATGCCGGCCCCAGGTACGTTTACTAATCCTTTATGTGATTATTTATTCGTAGTTCATTCATTTTAATTTCAAGTTGAATTGCGATTACTTGTTGTTGAATCGTGAATTCATTTCCGGTGAAGAATATTTTGTTTGGATACTCGTCGTCCAAAGTTGTGAATATTTATTCGGGATTAAATTTAATCACGTGTTGGATTTTTTGCTTTTGATTTTTTCTGTTGATTGATTCGTGGATAAACTTTCCGGTTAAGAATATTTGTTTGGATACTTGTTGTCCGAACTTAGGAATATTTCTGTCTGGATTAGTTTTAAATCCCGTTTCATTGCTTGTTGATTTAATTCTAGCCTATTTGTGCTTGTACGAAAGAACAAGGAGATTGTACCCGAGTTTTGTGCTCATTGGTCTTCTCGGCTTGTTCGTGCTAGTTGCTTCGTACAATTCATAGCCCCATAGGTTATAATTAATCACTCATCTATCTGTTGAGTAAATAGTAATTTATCTGTGCTTGTACGAAAGAACAAGGAGACTGTACCCGAGCTTTGTGTTCATTGGTCTTCTCGGCTTGTTCGTGCTAGTTGCTTCGTACTGTGCGTAGTCTGATAAATTTTATTTACTCTCTTGCGTGTTGTGCTTGCTTTCCTGTTAAAATGCCTGTCAATCAATATGGCATGCTTCCATTTAACGGAAAGACAGATTTTGATATTTGGAAACAGAAAATCAAACGTGTGTTGATCCAACAGAAAGACTATAAAGCTGTGACTAGTCTCTATTTAGACTCCGAGGATGCTGCAAAGCGCGTTGAAATGAATGAAACTGCTTGTTCCTCTATATACCTAAACCTTTCTGATTTAGTGCTCAGGAAGGTGGGTATTATAGATTCTGCAAAGGAGTTGTGGGACAAGTTAGATAAGTTGTATACCGATACTTCTTTGCCTGGTAATTTGTTTTTGCTTGAGAAGTTCTTTAAATTTAGGCTTGACCTGACTAAAGACATAGATGAGAACCTAGATGTGTTTAACAAGCTTATTCAGAACATTAAGCTAGCCGGTGATAAACACATAGATGACTACACGCCCATAATGTTACTTAATGCCATCCCAGACTCTTACAATGATGTCAAATCTGCCATAAAGTATGGTAGAGACGATATCTCGTTAGTTATAGTCGTTAATGGATTAAGAAGTAAGGAGTTAGACCTTAGACACTCAAGGGGTAGTAAGAGTCAATTTAGGGACTCTGGTGAAGCGTTGCTTGTGAGGGGTAGGTCTAAGAGTAGATCTAGAAACCATAAGAAGGGTAGCAACACTAAGAACCAAACCAATAATAATGACCCGAGTAAGAAGAGAGGTAAGTCTAAGAAGAGAGTGTGCTATAATTGCAGGAATTCTAGCCACTTTATTAAGGATTGTCCTCACCCTAAGAAGTCTGAACATGCTAATGTGGTAGATGATAATAACTTGCATGATGAAGTTTTTATGGTGTGTGGTTTTGCCAATTCTGTGTTGAGTAGCATGACTGAAAATGAGTGGTTGATTGACTCTGATTGTACTTATCATATGACACCTTTTAGATCTCTGTTTGCTTCTTATGATTCTTGTAATGATGGTTTTGTGCTGATAATAAGAAATGCAAAATACATGGAGTGGGTGATGTATGCTTGAAGTTTGATAATGGGACTGTGTTTACTATGAAAAATGTGAGGCATGTTCCTGATTTGCGTCATAACTTGTTTTCTGTCGCTGCCTTTGAGGGTAGTGGACTTGAGGGTAAATGGGGAAATGGGTGCATGAAAGTTTTGAAAAATTCCCTTGTTTTGTTTAAGGCAAAAAAGGTGAATAATTTGTATGTGTGCCATGCTCAGCCTTTATGTGATTCTGCTCATGTTGTTAGTTCTGATAAAACTGCTTTGTGGCATAATAGATTAGGACACATGAGTAATAAGGGTTTAGAGATTTTGCATAAATCTGGTTGTTTTGGTAAGGATTCTATGTCCTCCATCCCTTTTATTGTATATTGCACATTCTCCCATTTTATTATTGTATATTAACTATTAACGAAATTTATTTTTGCTTAGTATTATTTAAAAAGTTAGACATTCGATGTAAAAAAACACAAATTTGGATGCATTTTTGACTAAATTTTCATTTTTACGTCTTTTATTAAGATTAATAATGTGATAAGAGATTGAATGAAGTTAGTAGATTAGTGGGTACTAATTAAAAGGGAAGATATAAGAAACAATCTCATTTAATCTAATCTTCTAACATATGTAAAAGTATAGTATTAGTGATCGTAATCGGTACACAAATATATATTGGTGATTCGTGTGTTTGTGAATTAGTTTGTGGCTATATTTTCAATAGCAGCACAAAGAATTTAAGAAAAATCGTATCACTAAAAAAGTCTAACCTCCTCATCTCTAAAAACGAATTCAACCGATATGATGCCCAAATACCTGTTCTTGAATGGTAGGGACCATTTTCTTGCAATTCAACAGAAACACGCAGCCTTCTTCCCCATATCACGTTTAATGGACTTCAAATTGA